TGAGGTCCTTTAGACCCTGGCGTGTCCTCTGATGTTTGTGGGGTGTAGCCACCTGGAGCATCTGAGAGGCCCAGGTTGGGCTGTCCTCAGCCCCGGGGGAGGAGCTTGCTCTGTGGCCTGCCTTGCCACCATCCCTCTCCCCTGTCGCTGGCCCCTGTCGCTGGCCCCTGTCGCCAGAAGCAGGGGAAGCCTCTTGGGAGCCTGAGCACAGGATGTTTCTTCCCTTAAGAAAGGAGGGGTGGAGAAGGGGGTGTTGAAGTGGGAAGGGCTGCTCCTCCTGTTTCCTATTAAAGGCGAGTGGGACGATAAGAGAGAGATGGAGAGAAACAGCAGGTGAAACAGGGGCTCGAGGGAGCCAGAGGTGGGAGTCTCAGCGGCTGGGCCAGGGCTGGAGGGCCCAGGAGCAAGGCCCAGGAGTCCCAGACCCTTCTTGAGTGGGAGGGGGAGATAGAGCAGGCCAGATCTAGAGTCCTGGGCTTGGTCAGGCTGGTCACCTTGGGGGAGTCATTTTCCTCTCTAGGTTGTCATTCTCCCACCATGGCTTCCTAGGGTTACTGGCTGCTTGATCTACAAGCCTGGCCTAACTCCCCAGCCCCAAGGCATCTGGAGCAGCTGGGATTGGAGCGCTTGCCAGGTGACCCAGCAGGTCCACTGCCCCCTTTTCCACTTCCCAGCCCTCAGCTCCTCCTGCCTCCCCCCTCCCAGTGACTCATAATTTTCCATCTTCAAGAAAGAACAAACAGAGACTGGATTTGGGCCCGTCTAGGGGGAGAGCCCACGTGGCTCCAAAAGGTTCTGGAATGGGTGTGTCCCTGTGAACGTGCACTTACGAATCCTGTCCATGCATGTATGTGCTGACCTGGGGGAGGGGCTCAGCCCTTAGGTTCCAGGCCAGTCTGCTAGGTGCTCCCCAGAGAGCAGAGAATACTAATGAAAGGCAAACACATAGCTGTACTTCCTGTATTTTGTTGCGAACTCTGTGTGGGAGCTCTTCTCCCCACTGTCCCGGGTGGGTCACTTGGGGTCTGGGAGGGTCCTGGCATCTTGTTCAGCAAACATTTATTAGCTACCTACTGTGTGCCAGGGCCTGTACTTGGGACACAGCCACAGGCAAGCAGGTGCTCACAGGCTGATGGTGGAGACAGACTCGTACCAGCTGGAGAGAGAAGGCCTCTGACCCAGCTTTGGGGGGTAGGGTGTGAAGAGGGCCTGCTTGGAAGAGGTGGCATCTAAGCTTAACCTGAAGGTTGAAGAAAAATCAGCCAGAGGGCAGGGAAGGGTATACCAATTAGACAGAACAAATTGTGAAAAGCCTCAGACTCAGAAGGATCAGGTATATGAGGAACTGAATATAAATCAACTAAAGGCCAGGTGCACGAATTCGTGCACGGTTGGGGTCCGGCCAGCTCACCCTGATCAGGGCCAATTGGGCCAGGCTGGCCAGAGGGAGGGACTGTGGGTGGTTGGTGGGCCGGCCCCGCCCCCTGGTCGAACTGCAGTTTGAACTCCCAGTGGGAGGGACAAATTGCATATTACCCTTTTATTATATGGGATGTGGTTGGAGAGTGGGAGGGGCGACTCCCTATTCATCTCCCAAGCATTAATTGAGAACCTACAGAGTGTTGGGCCCTGAGGCATAGCTGGTAGCAAGGCAGACCTGGTCCTACCCTTGAGGGGCTGGTGGGCAAAGCAGAAACAAATCAAATAATCATGACAATAAGTGTGAAATTGTACTTGTGAGAGAAGGTGCTCTGAGAACATTTACCCTGCTGGTCAGGGAGGGTTTCCTGGAGGGGTGATCTGAAAGATTAAGAGTCAGCAGGGGAAAGTGTTGGGGCAAAGGCATGTGTGAGAATGAGCCTGGCTGATCCAAGGAGCAGCAAGGAGGAAGCCGCCAGAGTGAACCAAGAGGAAGAGGGCGGGAGGCCAGCAGGGGTCAGGCATCACAGGGCCTCCAGGGAGGTGTGGATTCAGAGGAGAGGGCAATGAGGAGCCAGAGGAGGGTCTGGAGCAGAGGAGGGTGAGATCAAACTCATGGGAGCATCTATACACGTGACACCACCCCTACTCTCTTCTCTCTGTCTAGACTCCATGGAGACTTGGGAAAGTCATGTCTCCTCTCCTGTTTGTCCTTAAATGGGCACAACAGCACCCACATCCTGTCTCCCTGGGGCCGCCTGGTGGCAGAAGAGAAAAGTGCCTGCTCTCTGCAGGAATGCTCAAATGGGGGAAGTGATGTGCTTAGGGCACCAGTGACTGCTGGGCACCTCCTCAGGTCATGAAGCACCCAGGGTCAAAGTCAGGATGGGGGTCCCCGGGTCCATCCATCTTCAGCCTCTGCCCTTTACCCGGCAGGGACTGGGGCCACCCAGGGTCAGGCAGGCCAGATTCCAATGCTGAGTTTCAGCGATGAGTCTCAGTTTCTCCATCCAGAAAGCTATTAATAACACATTACTGCTAAAACTGTTAATGAAATATTTAAGGTTGAATCTATTAATGAACATTAATATTAAACTATTGATAAAACATTAATGAAGGCTGGGACTTCAGAGGGGATGGAGCCAGTTAAGCATTGAGTGGGAGAGAGCACCGGCTGGGTAGTCTATGTGGTAACTGAACACACCGCTCTGTGCCTCAGTTTCCCCATCCCCCAAATGAGCATAATAGTCCTCATTTTCAAGAATTGCTCCAAAAAGCAAGTGATTTTTCGGTGCACAGCCCTTGGCTCAGAGCCAGGCAAGTAGGAAGTGCTATTTGTATTGATGTGTTTAGTCTTAACCTGCCATTTCAGGTCTGTGACTTTAGGGGAGGGACTGAATTCCTCTGTGCCTCAGTTTCCCCTTGGGGACACAAAACTATTGCAAGCCCCTCCCATGGAGCTGGGATGGTGTCAAGGCTCCTGGGAGGGATCCTGGCCCCAGAGTCTCCACCAGGCCAATCCTGGCAGCCTCTATCCCCTGGGGATCGGCTATAATTAGGTGCAGCCGCAGCAGCTACAGAGGGTATTTTTGTCTTGGGGACAGCAAGTCTGGTTCCCACCAGGTGTCTGCTTGTAGGGCCACAGATGGCAGGAGGGGGTTCCCGGACAGACCCTTGAGACTCCTTGTCCTCCTGGGCCCCAGCATGACCCCTCTCTGAACCTCCATTTTTCTCATCTGTACAATGAGGCCAATAGTGTGTTAGGAGGTCAGGAGAGGGTCAGGATCTCCTCCCTGTGGTGCCTCAGGCTCCCTCCATTGAAGCCCTGATCACCCCAAGCTGTATCTCATATTTCCCTAGGTGTGCCAGAAATGTGGTGTCCCACAACTACTGGTATAGTCCTCCCAGAGGCAAGTCCTAGACCAGGGGTCCTCAAACTATGGCTCGCGGGCCACATGCAAATACAAATATTGTATTTGTTCCCGTTTTGGTTTTTTACTTCAAAATAAGATATGTGCAGTGTGCATAGAAATTTGTTCATAGTTTTTTTTAAAACTATAGTCCGGCCCTCCAACCGTCTGAGGGACCGTGAACTGGCCCCCTGTTTAAAAAGTTTGAGGACCCCTGGCCTAGCCAGTGCGGGGGGGAGGTCCAGCCTCCCTGACCTCAGTGGCTTCTGCCTGTGATGTGGCATTTGGGGTCCTGCCTCCAAGTGTGACATGCTCTAGGATGTGGTTTCCTTTCCTGCAGTTCAGGGCAGGGCGACCAACCCCAGCACCTGGTATAGGCCCCTGAACTCTCCCAGACACCAGCGGTGAGGGCTCCCTTTCTCACTTCCCCCCAAGTCCTTCCTGGTGGGGGTGGGGGCGGGTAGCTGATGCTTCACAGAACAGGAGATCTGGCTGGAATGGAGAGCGGATGTTTGTCCAATGGAGACAGCAAGCGAGGGAAAAGGATCCAGAGACAGGGCCTGGGGTATGTCAGAGCAGGTGGGGGTCACGCGGGGACTTGTGGAGGGGAACTGGAGGAGGGGGAGCCTTTCCCAGCCCTCTGCCCTGCCGTGAGGTTTTGTGTCTGTTTCCACCTTGTTGGATTCCTCAGTTTCCTCACCTGGCAAAGGAGTAAGGCTTTGTTGCTGCTGGGCAGGCCCTTTGTGGCCCAGGCCTCAGTTTCTCCATCCGGAAAACGGGCAGAGTGGGACTGGAGTTTGTTGCTTCTGGGCAGCCCCTCAGCAAACTCCTGCCTCGATGCTCGGCTCATTATGCGCGGTGCTTCCCTTTCTGACTTCTCCATTTCACTCTTTCAGCCAAGTTCTCCCAGACAGCTGCACTATTGCGGGACAGGTTGGCTGATGAAAGTAGAATAATATCCGGGTTCTAGGCCACAGAGGGTCGCCCCCAAGGGGGGGAGGGTGGAGCAGAGAGTGGCACCCAGCTCCGTGCCTCAGTGTCCCCATTTGCCCGGTGGGAGCTGCCCAGAACGGACCCGGGGCGGGGCGGGGCGGGGCGGGGCGCGCGCTGTCCCCTCTCCGCGGCCCCGCCCCCGCGGCTGTCCTGAAAAGGTTCCACGGGCCGCGCTCGGTCCTGCCTCCACGCCGCCGCGGCGATGCAGGGTCCCCCCGCGCCCGCCCCGGCCCCTGGGCCTGGCTCGCCCCGGGACCCCGCGCGCAGCTCCCCCGGGCTCTTCAGGAAGCTCCTGGTGAACCAGAGCATCCGCCTGCAGCGGCGCTTCACCGTGGCGCATCCTCTGTGGTGAGGGGGCAGGAGAGCTGGAGGGTCCGCGGGAGCGCCAGGTGGAGGTGGGAGGACGCCGTCGGGGCGCGCTGGGGCCGGGGCCGGATCCCGGGCCGGGGCGTGGGCGCTCTGCCCCTCCTCCGTCTGTCTTCCCTGTCCTGTCCCGGTCTCCCTCCACGCGGTCTGCACAAGCCGGGTCCCCGCGGCTGTCCCTTCCCAGCCGGGTGGCCAGAGCAGGACGAGCTGACGCTCACGTCTCCTCCTGACCCTCCCGCCTGGGCAGGCGGCCTGAGCGCCCCGGAGTGAGGGGAAGGGCGAGGGCCACCCCCTCCCCTTGGTCTGCGCTCCTCCTTCCGTCCGGGTGCCGGCCAAGAGGTGGCCTGGGGGCTTCCCAGGAAACTCTCCGTGTCCCCGAGGAAGACCCGGTTTTATGAGGCGCCCACAGCCTAAGAGAGGCATTTCGCGTCCCAGACTGAGCGGATCCCCCGGCGCCACTCGGCCGTGTCCTCCGAGGACGTCGCCTCTCTGGGTTCGAATCCCGCCCCTTCAGGAAGCGACTGTGCGGGTTCGGGCGAGGCTGGAGGCGGATGGGGCTTGTGGGCGCCGACTGCGTCTGGGCACCTGGCGGCTCAGGGGCTGGAGGTCCCGGTGACAGCTGGCGGGGGCGGGGCGGTCGCGGCCGTGGTCTCCGATGGCGCCACTGCAGCCCGGGAGGGGGGTCCCAGGTCCGGGAAAGCGCCCCCAGAGCACCCACCCGACGCCTGCTGAGGGTGGTGCTGCCTAGGGATCCGGAGAGAGCGCAGGGGCGTCGAGGGAGCGCCCTCGGGAGCCAGAAGGTGAGGCTAGGGGATGGCGGGTCCCTCCGAGGCCCTTGTGCCTCCATTTACCTGTCTAACCCATGGACAGACTTGCCGCTTCTACTGTCGGGGCGACCTCGCCCCGCGCCGCCCGCGTCATGGAACCACAGCCTGACCCCGCCACTCCCAGCTAAGATTAGAGCAGAAAAAACCAAAACAAAAACTTCCCCAGCTGTGACCAGCCTTCCACCCCGAGCGCCGGCTCATTGGATTGCAGCCCCGCACCCTGGTGGCCGCCCCCCGCTACAGCCGCCCTAGCGCGGCTGGGTGCGCGTCCCCAGGCCCCTGGGAGAGGCGAGGAGGGAGGGGGTGGCCACTCCCTGGCCTCCGCTCGGAGCGCGGGTCTGTGTGTGCCGCCGGCAGCCCCCCCGCCCCCCTGAGTCCCCCTGCCCCCCCGGGCCCCCAGCCAGGCGGGTCAGAGTCTGGAAGCCCAGCCCTCCACGTGACGTCACGAGGCGGGAGCCCGGACGCACGCGCGGTAGCGGCTTCTCGTCTCCGCTGAAGCCGAACTGGCGGAGAGCGGCCGGACAAAGCCAAGCGCGCCCGAATCCTCCGAGTGTGGCCGAACAGAGCCGAATGTTCCCGAACGTATCCGAACCTGCCCGACCGCGGTCGGACGTAGCCAAGTCAGAATGAACTCGCCCAGTTGGACCACGCCCAATAGAACTTACTCAAACCCGACCCCGCTGGACCGAATCCAGCCGAACCGGACAGAATCCTGCCGAATCCCGGACGGGTGACCTGGCGGGGACCAGGTGGACACGGACCCTTGGCCAGAAGCCCCAAGTTGTGGGCGGCCCCCGGTGTCTACCTGTCTCCCGCCTGCGCTCTCAAAGCCCGTGACCTGCGGCAGCCCCTCTCCATTGCTAACTCCCCATGCAGAACCTCCGTTCTTGCTCACGTCCCCGCCCACTCTTTCTCTGACCTCTGACCCCAAGGAGGATGAGCACAGATTCTCCATTAACCAGTCAGGGTGTGGCGGGAGGGTGGGACCGGGCTGAAAGAGCGAGGGGGGAGGAACTGAAGATTGCTGGGAGCAAGGGGTGCTGTGGGGAGGAACGTGCTCCGGGAAGCGGGCATGGCCCCCAGCGGAAGCCTGGAGGTGGAAGCGTACAGGCAGAGCATTCGGGTGGAAATGAAGCAGGAGTAATAGATCTGGGGGGTAAAGGATGTGGGGGCGTGGTCGACTAGATTGGAGCGGGGCCAAGTGGGCTGAGGGTGTGGGCTGGGGGCGGGGACAGGTGACCCAAACTGGCTGGGGGGGGGGGGGGCCTCTCCCGCTGTGGGGACCCTTGGAACTGGCCTGATTTGGGCAAGATCTAGACCCCTCCAGAGAGGAGAGCCCAGATAGTCAGTTTCCAGTCTCTGTGACCTTACCACGCGACCTGGACCTCAGTTTTCTTCTTAGTAATATGGAAGCCCAGTTGTCATTCTCTGGTGCTCAGCTGTAACGACCTAAAAGCGCCCTCGGAGAAGACTCTACCCATGCCTATATTACAGACAGGGTAGTCGATGTCCAGAGAAAGGCTGAGACCTACCCATGGTCACACAGACATTTGGGGACAGATCTGAAGCTCACGTTCTGGAGTCTAGACTGGTCCCAGTGGGAAGGCTGGTGCCAGGTCCCTGGGGAGGGGTGTGACTGTGAGGCAGGTGGACGAACTGTATGCTACTCCTTCATGGCCCATCGTTTGGCTCCCGGGAGGATGTGAAAGGACAGGTTGGAGCTACCAAAGGCCATCCGCTTGCCAGGCCCCTCGGCTCTGACCATGCCTCATCTGTTTCCAGCTTTGACCTGGAAAATGCACTCTCACGTGGGAGAAGCACCCAGGACCCTCAGGTCGGGCCTGGCCCTGGCCAGGTCACCCAACACAGCCAGCGGCGTGAGTCCTTCCTGTACCGCTCCGAGAGCGACTACGAACTCTTGCCTAAGGCCATGTCCCGGAACTCTTCAGTGGCCAGTGACCTGTGAGTCTGGGGCTGGTGGGATGACACCTACTCGTCTCTTCCTCCTTTTATTATTCCGTTCAGCACACCTCCTTCAAGTGGCTTTTTGTGCTGGGTTTTGAAGTTTAAGTAGGAGTTTGTCAAGCAGCCACTTACTCAGTTGAACTTGCCTAGAATGATATCTGGTGATCTGTGCTTGACTTTAGGCTTGGGTTGGGTGGCAATCCAGAAACATTAAGGACAATTAGTAGCAACTGAACAAACACCTTAATTAGACCTTCCTGGTAGCCATAATAAAAGGGGAAATAAAATAATATCCCTGCTTCCCCCGGGACTCAGTTTCCTCATGTGTGAGGTTGGAGGGCCTTCCAGAGAAGAGCCAGGTAAGGGGAGCCCCGGGATTAATAGGGCACCAGAAGGAGGAGTTGTGAGGGAAGGATGAGCTCAGCTGAGGGCATAGTGTGGGCAAAAGCTCTTAGATGGGACCGCGCTGGACAGCCCCCTGGCCACCCTTTCTAATGTCCTCTCTCCCCACAGACATGGAGAAGACATGATTGTGACGCCCTTTGCCCAGGTGGGTGCCCACTCCTCCCCCTTCCTGCGTGAGGCAAGCAGGCGAAATCGATCCCCCCTTTTCCAATGCTGATCATCCCCCTCCCAACAGGTCCTGGCCAGTCTGCGGACTGTTCGGAGCAATGTTGCTGCGCTAGCCCACCTGCAAGGCCAAAGAGCAGCCAAGTACATAGGGGGTTGGGCGGGGGTGGGGCCTGGCAGGGAGAAGGGCAGGGCCGGGAGAAGGGGGCGGTGGCCCACAGGTGGGCTGGATGGGGTGGGACCATTTGGGTGAGGTAGGCCACCCCAGAGCGGACTGTACTGCAGGCAGACATCCATCGGGAACCCTCCACCTGGCTGTCAGCCCCCTCCTCCTCCAGGTAATTCTCCTGCTCCTACCCCTCCCTCACACTATGGGACCGCTGCCAATTTCTTCTCCATGGTGACCTCCCCAGCCCATGGACCCTTAGGCTGTGCTCATTGTAACCCTCCAAAACACCCTCAGGGCTGGAGTCTACCAGGCCCAAATGACAGATGGGGAGGCTGAGGTCCAGAGAGTGGCGGAGACCTGCCCATGGTCACACAGCCACTGGGGACAGACCTGGAACTCAAATCCTGGGGTCTGGAGTGGCCCCACTGGGAAGGGCTGTAGGTTCTAGATGTAGACATGGAGTCATGAAGGGGTGGGGTCACCGAGTGGGGGTGGGGCAGGATCCTGATGGCTCAGCCCCCAGAGGACACTGGGCAGAAGCTGGCCTTGGAGACACTGGATGAGCTGGACTGGTGTCTGGATCAGCTGGAGACACTGCAGACCCGGCACTCGGTGGGGGAGATGGCCTCCAACAAGGTGAGGAGGGCCAGCGAGCGGAGATCATTGGCCGCTACCCGCAGTGCCCCCTCATCACTGTCCTCACCTCCCCCGACAGTTCAAGCGGATGCTGACCCGGGAGCTGACTCACTTGTCTGAAACCAGCCGCTCGGGGAACCAGGTGTCAGAGTACATTTCCCAAACCTTCCTGGGTGAGCTGTGGTGGGCCACTGCCTGGGCACCATCCGGAGGTAGGAAGAAAGGAGAAAAGACCTCCGTCAGGGGAAGGCAGAGCAGCCAGCTGGGTGAAGGACGGCCGGGCCAGCGGGAGGAGCAGAAGATCCAGGAGGAGGGGACATTAAAGCCAGGGTTGTGAAGCATGAGTAAAAGTTTTCCCAGAAGGAGATGGAGGAAACCAGATAGCTGGGTCTCCAGCTTGGGAGACAGAAAGGACACTGAGCTGTTTGGGGGAAAACACTGAGCCCCAGGCTCTCAGAAGAGGTTACTGAGATCAGCCACGAAAAGAGGGTAGATAGGGACTTTGCTCTGAGCTGACTGGGATTCAGGTAAAAAGGAAATAGGTTGATCCTGACGCTTAGCAAAGTCTGCGACCTGAGAAGAGGCAGGACAACCCTAGCAGGTGAATCGGCTTCTCTGAGTCCCACCCTCCCCTCCTTCCAGACCAACAGACCGAGGTGGAGTTACCCAAGGGAACCCCCAAGGAACCCTCGAGGCCCATGTCCCAGATCAGCGGCCTGCAGGGGCTCCCCCACAGTGCCAGCCTCTCCACAGCCACCATCCCATGCTTTGGCGTCCAGACTGACCAGGAGGGGCAACTGGCCAAGGTGGGTTCCCAGCTAGAATGCTGAGACCTGGGTTAGGGTTCTGGCTCTACCTGGATGCCCTATTGTGAGCCTCAGTTTGCCCACCTGTATACTGGGCAAGTGGGGCTAAATGTAAGATCTGAGGGAGGGGCTCACAGGTTCAGAGTCTGGGGAAGTTGGGCCTGGGTCAAGCTCCAGTTCTTCACATTTTAGGAACTGGAAGACACCAACAAGTGGGGGCTTGATGTGTTCAAGGTGGCAGAGCTAAGTGGGAACCGGCCCCTCACAGCCATCATATTCAGCATCTTTCAGGTACCTCCCATGACCTTGCCCACCAATACCCCTGGATTTCTTTCAGCCCTTCCGACCTCAAGACCTTAGGGGACTCATATCCTTCAACTCCTTCACTTCCCTGAATGGAATCCTTTGAGCAGGGCATTGAAGGATGAATAGGAGTTCACTAGGCTGAACAGGTCGGTCATTGCTGATAGTCAACAAGCCTCAGCCATGGACCCAGGCCTGAAGAGACCTAGTCTGGAGGGAACTGCTGTGGGGTCAGAGATAGACCAGAGGGGAAGGTCAAGGACCAAGTGATTTCAGAATTGAGGGCATCCTGGAAGATGGGGCATGTGAGAGGTGGATAGAAGTTCAGAAGGAGAGAAGGTGTAGGAACAGTGTGTGCTGCCGCCTGGAGGAAGTCCTCACTGGGGGCCTGTGGTGAACCAGAAACGGGACCTGCTCAAGACGTTCCAGATCCCAGTGGACACACTTGCCACCTACCTGCTGACGCTGGAGGGTCACTACCACGCCGACGTGGCCTACCACAACAGCCTGCATGCCGCTGACGTGGCCCAGTCCACGCATGTGCTGCTGGCCATGCCCGCCCTGGAGGTATGGTCCTATAGACTGGCCGGGCAGGTGCAGGGCGCAGTGCAGAGAGCCGCCGCTCAGCGCTGATGCTCATGCCCGCTCAGGCTGTGTTCACAGACTTGGAAGTCCTGGCTGCCATCTTTGCAAGCGCCATCCATGATGTGGACCATCCTGGGGTCTCCAACCAGTTTCTCATTAACACCAGTGAGTTAGGGGCCCTGGTGACAGGCCTCCACCTGTCCATCATGTGATCTCCAGGGGTCCCAGCCCTGCTTTGAGCCAAGTCGGCCTGTTCACGAAATGGCTATGCGATCTTCTCCTCCTTGGGTATTCAGGGCGGGTCCGGGTGCATAGGAGACACTCAATAAATGAGAGAATAACAAATGCGGCACAGCTCATCGGAGCCCACCGAGATTTTGAAGGTTAGGGACCTTTGAGGTATCTGGAACACTCCGTCAATAAGCAATTATTGGGCACCTCTTGTATACACCCCAGGAGAGCCCTCTCACTCGAGGGTCCCAGAGTCTCATTGGATAAAGATTCAGTTGTTCATTCAATCAGCACTTAGTACACACTCTTTCCTGCCATGCCAAGTCCCCAAGGAGTCCCCAGTCTCGAGGAGGCAGAGCAGAACACAGATGCCCCCAGCCCCGTGGAGTCAGGGCTTGGCCAGAGAGAGAGAGAGAGACGGGGTCACAGAAGGTTTCCTGAGGAGGGGGCTTTAGGGTTGGGGCTTCAATGCCTGAGTAGGAGTTTGCCAAGAGTTCACCGAACCTGCCTTTTGGTGAGGCGGGTTGGTCGGGCAGACGGCGAGGCTCTCCACCTTCCTCCCCCACAGACTCGGAGCTGGCGCTGATGTACAATGACGCCTCCGTGCTGGAGAACCACCACCTGGCTGTGGGCTTCAAGCTGCTGCAGGCAGAGAACTGCAACGTCTTCCGGAACCTCAGCACCAAGGAGTGGCTGAGTCTGCGCCGGATGGTCATTGACATAGTGAGGCCCCAGCGATGGGCGGGCGGGGCGGTCCCACCCGTGGGGTCTGGGCGTGCCTCCACTCTGAGCCTGAGCTTCCTGGGCTATAAAATGGGGCAATGACCCTAAGCCCTGGGTGGGGTGACCAGGCCCTTGGTCCTGGCTGCGGTTCACGCATACGCGATATGGAAACTGAGCCTCTGGGGTTTCAGGTGCAACTGTTTTGAGCCTTTAGTCGTCCGTTTGGTGTTTTTCTGGTTGGAAGACACCAGTAAGTGTTGGAGTCCCGTGCCTCATTCAATCACTTTATAAGCATTTGTCGAACACCTGTTGTGATGGCCAAGACAGTTCTGGCCTTTCTGAGATTACAGTTTGTGAGGGAGACAGACACATGGGTGGAGCGATGATGGGGACCCCGAAGCAGAGCTGTGATGGATGACTTGTAGGCAGAGCTGTGATGGGGCCATGCTCAAGGTCAGGTGGGGCTCCCCCAAGAGGAAACCCTGAGATTGGGGTCTGCAGGGCCGGCGGGGGGGGGGGGGCTGGTGAGGAGTGTTGTCAGCAAAGAGACCAGCATGTGGGAGGGCTCAGAGGAAACGCAGGCTCCCAGGGAAGAGAAACTAAACATTTGCTGAGACAGAGTTGGGGCCTTGGGTGGAAGGCACCATTTGGGGGCCACCTGGAGGTTTGGGAAGAAGATTTGAGACTTTTGTCTAATTCTCAGAGAAGTCCATGGGCTGGGTATTGGTTATTCCTGGACTGGGTTCATATGGATCCAGCAAAGTTTAAAAAAAAAAAAAAAATTTATTGATTTCCGAGAGGAAGGGAGAGGGATAGAGAGATAGAAACATCAATGATGAGAGAGAGTCATTGATTGGCTGCCTCCTGCACGCCCCCTCCTGGGGACCGAGCCCGCAACCCGGGCATGTGCCCTTGACCGGAATCGAACCCAGGACCCTTCAGTCTGCAGGCCGAGGCTCTATCCACTGAGCCAAACCAGCCAGAGCCAGTGACGTTGATTTTTAAACAATTATGTTTGGGGCCAAACTTCCCTCCAAATTGCTAAAACAGCCCTCCTAGGCACACATGGTCATAGGGAGATTTGGGGAGCACCAAGTCAGGTTCCTCACAGCTTCAAGACCACCTATGGCTCCCATGGCCCTCTGGGTAAGTCCCCCACTCCTCCCTGAGGCCCTCTCCGTTCCAGTCAACCTCACTTGCTCCAGCCATAAGTGCTTCCTCTATGTTCCCCAGCTCGTCCAACCCCAGGGCCTTTGCACAGGCCATGTCCTGGGCCGAGCCTCACTGCTGCCCTCAGCCCCCACATTTAATCTTTAACATGTGGAATGCATCCCATGAGCCCAAAGACCTTAGAGGTGGAGCCCTTGACTCAGCTCCTCTTGTGAGCTGGGTTTGCCGCCAATCTCATGACATCCCCCCATTTCATAGATGAGGACGCAAACGCCGAGGGCTGAGGGGCTGAGGGGTGTGATGTCTGGGAGGAAAGGGTGGGTGGGAGCAATACTCATACCTGTCATTCCCCCCTCACCTGCCCTCAGGTGCTGGCCACTGACATGTCCAAACACATGAACCTCCTGGCTGACCTCAAGACCATGGTGGAGACCAAGAAAGTGACGAGCCTGGGAGTCCTGCTGCTGGACAACTACTCGGACCGCATCCAGGTGTGTGGCTGGGCTGACCCTGGGTTTCCACGCCTCTCATTTAGCTACACTTATGAAACGTCGCCTGTGTGCCAGACTTGAAGAAACGGAGGCAAAAAGGCTCACGTGACTGTGCCTTAGCCACTCCTTCCCCTCCCGGGCCTCAGTTTCCCCACCTGGAAGAGGGGTGTGTCCATGGTACCGGCCTGGCCATGGGGTTAACCGGGCCTGGGGTGGCCTGGCCCGAGCCCTCCCCAGCCTCGTCTCCTCAGGTCTTGCAGAACCTGGTGCACTGTGCTGACCTCAGCAACCCCACTAAGCCGCTGCCCCTGTACCGCCAGTGGACAGACCGAATCATGGCTGAGTTCTTCCAGCAGGGAGACCGTGAGCGGGAGTCGGGCCTGGACATCAGCCCCATGTGTGACAAGCACACAGCCTCGGTGGAGAAGTCCCAGGTCAGAGGGTGACCGGGTCAAGCTGGCAGGCACTGGGGCGGGGGAGAGAAAGGAGTAGCCGACCTGACCCCCTGAGTTCTGGCTGGACCCCTGGCGGTCAACGAGGGAGTGTGGCCCAAGGGCGTGGTCTGCCCGGGGCTGTGTGGGGTCAGGCGGGGATGCATTCTCTCTGGGCTACTGGGAAACGGATCTGCACTCAAGGGGGTTGAAAATGTCTATTCTGAGTGATGTGGGGCCCCTGGAGGGGGGTCTTAGCCTAGGGGCACATACACCTAGCCCTGAGGGGTCTGTGCTGGGTGGAAGGAAAGACTTAGGGGTTGGGGGAGCCCAGAAGGGGCAGGGGAGACTTTCGAAAAGAGGGGCTGTTTGAAGAAGGTTTTGAAGGATGAGTAGGCGTTGGGAAAGGGCATGCCCAGGAGAGAGAACAGCCTAGGCCTGGAGGCTTAACTGGGTCTGGGTTCCATGGTGCCTCACAGCACAGCCACCCCCTTCGCCCCGCAACCCCGTATCACCCCCCAGGTGGGTTTCATTGACTACATCGCCCACCCACTGTGGGAGACCTGGGCTGACCTGGTACACCCAGATGCACAGGACCTGCTGGACACACTAGAGGACAACCGCGAGTGGTACCTGAGCAAGATCCCCCGCAGCCCCGTGGATCCCACCAGCCCTGAGCAGGGCGGCCTTGACAGATTCCAGTTTGAGCTGACTCTGGAGGAGGCAGAAGAGGAGGAGGAGGAGGAGGAGGAGGGAATGTTGGCCCAAGAGGCCTCAGAGTCACCTGACACTGACCTCCTGTCCCCTGAGGCCAGCTCAGACCCTGGGGCCTTATGCCTAGACAACCAGAGGACCGTGGGCAAACCCTGCATGGACCATGAGGGCAATGTAACGGCTGAGCCATCTGGCTCCTAATGGCCCCTAATGAGTGGGTGGACTTTCCAGGAAGAGGTTCCAGATGACTCATGCCTTGCCTTCTCCACACATTGAGGGGGACAGCCTTAGTTATAGGCAAGTTTCAGGATTGAAGCTGGCTGGGGTCCACTCTGACCCCGGGCTCTGCTGAGCTCTCCTCCTCCAGCGTCAGCTCTGACGTTGGGGCTGGGTCAGGCCCAGCTTCGCCAGTGGTCACTCTTGAGCCACACCCATCACTTGCTCTTTCGTTCTTTATCAGATATTTATTGGGCACATACTGTGTGCCAGGCCTGCGCCTGCTCTGTGCCCCTGGGGCAGCCCTGTGCAACGGGGTGAGGAGTCAGCCCCAAGGAGATGCCCCCACAGGCACCTCCCTTTCATCTGCTGGGGACCTTGAATGGGGAAAAGCTTTGTCCAGTCCCAACTCTGGTTCTGGAGCTCTGGAGGGGGTGGTCAGGGGGCAGCAGAGAGAGGGCTCTGTGTGGAGACATCTCTGAAGATTGATGTGGCCTGTTGCTGCTTGTGCATCAGTTATTGCTTTAAGTAGCTGTGGTTTCTGTCTTCAGGTGCCTCTGGGTGCACCTGTTCTCTCTGACCTCAGGACCTCCTGCTGGCCATCCCCCCATTCTCCTACTTATAGAACAGCAACAAAAGCACACAATTCCTGTCACCCGTACCGCGGGTCTCTGTCTCTCCCAATTCTGAGGGTGCCCCAGACACCTCCTAGGAAAGCCTCCTGGGCCTCAGTTTCCCCTCTATGGCCTGATCCTAGTATTTGGGTAAACTTTGGTTGAGAGGTAGTGTCTGTGAGCACCCTGAAATATCTTAGAAATCTGGGGCATTGAACGTTTCTCTGGAGTTAAATAAACCTTATTAACTTAAACTAGTATGTCTATTTCATGGATGGGGAAACTGAGGCACAGAGCAGTCCTGTGGCCTACTCTAGGCCACGCTGCTGGGTGCTGGACATTAGCTCGCGGCGCCCCCTGGTGGCGGGAGGCGCGGCGAATTTGGGGGTCCTGTTCTCCTGGCTGGCCTCCCTCCCCTATGGCATCTCGCTTGCTGGATCAGCCGAGGGCAGGGGCGGATAGGCCGCTCTGTGCTCAAGCGTCAGGTTCAGTTCCTGTCTCCGGAAGGCTCAGTCTTCCCCCCTGGAACTTGCCTCCTTCCCAGCGTGCCTGAACATTTATGTGTGACACAGGTCCTCCCAGCATCCTCTGGCTTCCAGAACAGCTCCCTTCATTACTAAATCACTCCACTGATAATTCATCATCACAATCAATGATGAAATTCCACAGAGGGAAAATTAAACGTCATCTGGGTCATGAACTTGGTGAATTTGCTTCTGGATCTTTAAAAGGCAAACATTTTTTAGGGAATGATTATTTGCAATTTTCCTCCCTGCCCCTTGACTTACAAGTAATGCATGCTCACCTTAGATAATTTGCAAATAATGGAAAGAATAAAATAAAGTTGTTATAACCTCATTCATAAACCACCTGTCTTCAGCATTTCACCTTATTTCCCTCTGGATTTTTCTTCACCCATTCATAAGAATACTAATATATTCCCCTTGAATTTGTGCTACAGGCATCCTTCTCGCCCCCCGTTACTGATTGCACTCTACCCACTCTGGCTTTCCACACCGAAGCACAGCCCCACCTCAGGGCCTTTGCACATGCTCTGCTCACCACCTGGAATGCTTCTTTTCTCCTTCATCCTCACCGTTGGGTCTCAGCTCAGCGACCTCTCCTCTGGGAGACCCTCCCTAATACCCCACTCCAGGCTGGCACTGGTGGAAGCTCTGGGGAATTCTTTGATTCATGTCCATCACTCCCTCCAGACCATGATCCGGATGCCTGCGCCGGGTCCACTGCACCATCTTCAGTGTCCCCAAAATGGACTTTGACAACTTCAGCAAGTCCCTTAACCTCCTGAAGCCTTGGTCTTTTCATGGATAAAGTGGGCTCTTGGTGAGGGTCACATAATCGCAATAACAGGTAACATTTGAGGAAAGCATGTCCTGAGTTAGGCACTGAGATACATGCTGTTCAGGGTCCTTGCCTTGGTGGCCCACCCTAAACCCAGAGAGGAGGGTGGGAGAAAGTCTTTGGGGCCCTAACCGGTTTGGCTCAGTGGATAAAGCGTCGGCCTGAGGACTGAGGGGTCCCGGGTTCGATTCCGGTCAGGGGCATGTGCCTTGGTTGCGGGCACATCCCCGGTGGGAGGTGTGCAGGAGGCGGCCGATCGATGTTTCTCTTTGATGGATGTTTCTGACTCTCTATCCCTTTCCCTTCCTCTCTGTAAAAAATCAATAAAATATATTAAAAAAAAAAAAAAAGCAAGTCTTTGGGGCCCCTTGGAACGTTTAGTTCTTGTGACCCCCCTAGGGCAGCGGTTCTCAACCTGTGGGTCTCGACCCCTTTGGCGGTCGAACGACCCTTTCACAGGGGTCGCCTAAGACCATCCCGCATATCAGATATTTGCATTATGATTCATAACAGTAGCAACATTACAGTTATGAAGTAGCAACGAAAATAATTTTATGGTTGGATCACAACATGAGGAACTGTATTTAAAGGGCCAGAAGGTTGAGAACCACTGCCCTAGGGCGATTCTCAGGGCCTTGGTTTGCCCTCTGTTAAGGGGAAAAAATTGCCTGCTCCACCTCCCTCCCAGAACTGGAGAGGAGCTGTCCCTTAAGCTTGTTTAGTGAGTTCCAGCCTCAGGACGGTTCCCTCGCTCACCCTGTGGCCAATTCCTCCTCCTCCTCTAGGTTCCTGCTCAAATGTCACTTCTCCAGAGAGGTCTTCCCTAAACTCCCTGGTCAAAGTCACCCTCCTTCCACTCATTCACTCATTCATTCAGTCATTCATTCCTGCCATACCATCATAGGACACCTACTGTGGCACAGGTGTAGGCACTCTCAGAGCTCACAGGTGGCTAATGGATAAACACATCAACATCACCATTTCTGATGTGTCAGGAAAGAAAGGTGTGATAGGAAGGACAGGGTGACATTGGAACCTCTGGAAGGAGATGGTGGGGTTGATCAGGCTGAAGGGGATGGGAGAGCAAGGGGAGGGAACAGCTAGGGGACAAGTGCTCTAGGAAACAGCAGGTGCAAAGGTCCTGAGGCCAGATCACACCTGGAACCAGTGAAGGAGTGTCTGACTGGAGGAGAAAGAGGAGATGGGTCTTTGTGGGTCCTGGGTTTCAGGGAGGAGTTTGGACTTTGCTGAGTGGGGCGGGACCTGGGAGGGTTTGGGGTGCTTCTCCCATTCAGCTCTGTCTCTTCCGCCAGACAGGAGACCACCCCAAACACAAAGCTCCCCATCTCCCTGGTCAACCATCTCTAGTTCCAGAGCCACATTCTGATTCTTAGTAAGAAAGGCCTTGCGTTATTTTTATGTTAAAATACAAATCTGTCTGGGCAGAAGCTGTTGCACATTGTTGTGGTGTTTTCCCTGAGGAAAAAACAGGTATTTCCAAGTGCCACCCACAGACGAAGCGGAAAGCAGGAGGGTCAGGGAGCCAAGGGGCCTCACGCTCCTGCTTCCCCTGGGTGCCTGGACCAGCCGCACCAGAGCTGGGACTGCCATCTTTGTGTGCGGGAACCTGGGGTGGGATTCTTTATTTATGTATGTATTTCCTGAATTTTCACAATTCCCTGCAGTGGGTTTGTGATACTCTCATGGGCTAAGTGGGGGAGATGGACAAAAGTGTTACCCCGAAGTAAAACAGATTTCCCAAATGCAAGCGGAGCAGGAGGGACCCTCTGCACGGGGGGGCAGGCGTGCATTGAGGGGGCGGCCTCCAGGCGCCGAGTTATTGTGGTTTCTCGTCGCCTGCGCAGCTGGAGAGCTTTTTATAAACAGGACGCGACTCTCCCCCCTCCCCGTCTCCTGGGGGCCATTGGGGGGGGGGGGATCGGAGCCTCCTGGGGAGCGGAGGGAGCTGGGGCCGGGACCTGGAGTGAGGGCCCGGTGTCTCCTTCTCCCGCCCCCCGCAATGCTGACTCCCCCGCCTCAATATTTGGGGGGGGGGGGACGATGGAGCATCTCAGCCCCAGAGTCTCACTGAGTCTTGTTTCCCCAGGAGGGAGGGGGCCTCTCCGGCCCTGGCTTTAACTCAGGAACCAGGGAGCGGAGAAGCCCAAGACCCGCTGGTACCCTCCTCGCGTCCGGCTCTTTTATCCTGGGCTTTGCAGGTTCAGGGGTCAGGCGGTTTCTCCGCCCTACTTCTGCCTTTTCTTAGAATTCTTCTCTGGAAAATGGGCGTCGGCAGGAGTGGGGTTGTTGGAGCGTCCATCAGCCCCTTCCCTTTTTCTGGGAATTGGTGGGGAGGGTGACTCTACTGGTCCCTGTTTCTTATTTCATCTCGGATACCGGGTGGTGCATCTATCAGCCAGGCCCACTTTGGGGTCTTTCATCTCAGAAAATGGACGGGGTCTCCCAACTCCTATGTCCGCTTTTTCTTTTGTACTTTTTTGAACCCTATACAGAGGAGGTATGGAGCAGCTCTCCACCTCTGGTTCTCTTTTCTAAAACTGGAAAGGGGGGGCGGGTGACAGGAGAACACAGCTTCCCGGTCTGGGTAGGGGCCGCCAGTGTCCCACCTGGGGAGAGCGGCGGTGGGGAAGGGGAACGCCCCCCAAACACCCGGACCCCCTCCAGGCCTCGACCTCCTGTCACCCACAGCTCGGGAGCCACTAATGGACCGAAGGAGGAAGATAATAATCACTGATTGGCTGCTCGGCCCGTCGCTCGGATGCTTAGGCCAGTTAGAGGTTGCTGCGCAGCCCCGCCTCCATGACACTTACAAGGGGCGGAACCAGAAGGCGATTCCGCCCCTCCTGTACGTTCCCGCCCGCTATTGGATGTGCACACTGGGCCCCGCCCCATTTGTGCGTCAATCTGCGCAAGAGTCCCGCCCCTTCCAGCTCTGAGCGCGGCAGTGGGCCACCTCTTCTAACGCGGCTCCGCCCCAGGATGGCGTCACGGCCGTGTCTGCATGTGAGGCCCCGCCCCGCTCTTTGCAGGACGTCACCGCAGACTGCAGGGGCTCCAGCTGCTGCCGCGCAGCCCTACATCCTCGCACGGAAGGCTCGTCACCGTCACCGCCAAAAAAGTCGCCGTTGTTGTGGTCGTCACCGCATCGGTGCAGGGCAAGGTGAGCTCCTGGGAGGCCTGGTGCGCTCCCGCTGAAAGCATCTAAATAAACTTCATTTGGATGGTGGATTGGCAGGGTTAGGGGACGAGGTTGGTGGGGGTTAAATAGAGGGAGGATGAGGTAGTCGCAGGCCTGGGGAGGAGTAGGGCCCTGGCTCCCTTCACCTGCCCTACCCTCATCCCTCTTACCCCCGCCTCTGCGGCGGAGGGGGAGGGGAGGCGAGTGCCTTGCGGGAAACTGCGTGCGCGTGCGCGGGGTGTGCACACGCGTGTGCGCGCCCGCCTGTGTGGGCGGGTCTGTATGCACCCTTGCGTGTACCTGAATATGCTCATGTGACTCCGTGTGGGTCCTGACCCAAATATGCCCTTGCTGCATGCTTGTGGAGAGAAACGCATGGATTGAGCGTGTGCGTGCACGGCTGTGTGCATACGTACAGGGGAATGCGTGCCTGTGTGGGTTACGTACACACACCTGCATGTGTGAAGGGCGCCGTGTGCACGTCTGGGTTTGCACCTTTATATATGCATGCCGGTGTGCAGACAGGCGTCTGCGTCTCTGTTCTGTGTTCCGAGTGTGTTGTTACCGGTGTGTGCCCTGCTGTGTGCACGTGAGCGTGTGCATGCTCCACCCCTATCACGTGATGCAGCTGCCTCAGCTTGAGCTCCCCCAGCCTGGAATTGGGGCTGCAGATTTGCATCCAGGCGGACTGTCCAGGTGTGCCCGCTTTGGGTTCTGAGGAACATAAATGATAGATGGGGGGCGGGGCCGGCCGCAGTTACCCCCTCCGGGCACAGCCCTAGGGTGTAGGGTTACAGCCTGACCTGGGGCACAGGTCTACTGGAGGGGGCTGCAGGGGTGTCCTCATCCTGGCTTCTCTGAACTCCTTCCTGAAATACACTCCCCTTCCCCCACCTTTCAAGGTCACATCAGGCCCTCTGCCCTGGGTTCCACAGTTAGTAGTACTGGGGCTTCTGGTGGAACGCTAGTTCCTCTCTGTGGCTCTAGAGTTTTCTCCATCCTGGGCCTGGGCCTGGGGATGGCAGAGGACCCCTCACACTAGCCTGTGCCCCACATTCCCAGATGGCGTCAGCCACAGACTCTCGCTATGGACAGAAAGAGTCCTCGGACCAGAATTTTGACTACATGTTCAAGATCCTTATCATTGGTAACAGCAGCGTGGGCAAGACATCATTCCTCTTCCGCTATGCAGACGACTCCTTCACACCCGCCTTTGTCAGCACTGTGGGCATAGACTTCAAGGTCAAGACTATCTACCGCAATGACAAGAGGATCAAGCTGCAGATCTGGGTGGGTCCAG